CAGCATTTCCTATTATTTTTAGGGCAAATGTTTTATTAGAGCAATAAAAACATACATGTTGTGAATAATTTGAAAAAGAAAGCGACTCTCTTAATTTGCATAATTAATGACATAAGTTAACTATGAACAGTATGTGACTATTTATGGTTATAGATTTTCAACCCTTCTATTAATATAATGCAAGAGAACATGCATTTGAATAATTTGAAACCTAAATTAAGTTTCTATGTACATTAATCGCAGTGATATGCAAATTCGGTGAATATAAGTTCAAATGTCAATTGTAGCATTTCCGTTCATTTTAGGGCGTATGTTTCATTAAAGCATATAGAACATTCATGTTCTCAACAATTTGAAAAAGAAAGCAACTCTCTCCACCAGCAGTTGCCAAGATATCGGACCCCTATATTTTCATTCTTAATGTACATAATTGAGAGCTCTGTTGCATATTAACACTGCATGTGACCATTGTGTGATAATAGGTTTTCATCCCTTCTAATAACATAATGCAAAAAAACATGCATTTGACTAATTTGAGACCTAAAATAGGTTTTTATGTACAGAGATAAGCAATTCAGTGAATACAAAGTCAGAGATCAAGTGTAGCATGTCCGTTTATTACTTTGGGCAACCTTTCTATTAGAAAGGTTAATTTTGATGGCCAGGTAACACTACTTAAGAACCAAATACGAGGTAAATGTAGATCGGTTACGGTAAACCTGTATTATATTCTCAAAATCCGCAAATTTATTTCCAAAGACGCTTGTACACAACTAGTGCAATTGCTCATGCTGTCACATGTTGATGCCAATGCATTGTACTATGGTCTACCTGTTGCTACCCTTGCTCCGAGCAAAAATCCTTAGAAAAGGTCGGTATGACTGGCTATTGATGCCTCATAGATGTGTAAAACACAACAAAAATCAAATCTGAGTCTTATTTTGCATTTTTTTTTCATGTTTAGGAATGTTTAAATTCTGTTAAATTAGCAAATCATTATAATATGTATTAATCTTTCTATTCCTATTAAACGAAAGTTTGCAGAAATGGGGCATTAAGTTATAACAAAAATGTATTAAAGAATTAATAATAATAATTGGTATTATTGAAAAAAATACTAATTATTAATTAATTATAGGAAAGACTTGAAACATTGAATATATAAATTCTGGAAAACAAAGGATGCACAAGAAATATACTATACTATAATGCAATTTCAAAAAAAAAATAATACAAGCAATGAATTTTCAAATACTACTTTCGTTAAATATGAAACAGGATTGTATTTTTCCTAATTGTTTTTTCTTTCAGATAATGGCCACTTCTGCAAAAGGTAAGATGCGTTGCGATGTATTTTTGTTAGCTTAAATGTTTGCGGAATACAAAATCAGAATTATTCGAATGATTACTTTTTATAAATTATTTAATTGAAGATTTTAATTTCCTCGTTATATGTTACAGCATTGTGATCAAATTATTTTCTTCTTGGGTTAGTAAAATCAAGTCTTCTCGGATAAGGACTTAAAAAACGACTGTCCAGTGTGCACATCTTGGTCGTGTGCACTTTAAAGAGCCTACTGCATCGGGAGAGTAAAGGGTTACTCTGATCCTAAGGTCGATTTCAGCACCTACCGTTGTGAAATGATGTGAACATCATCATGTTGCTACTATAAACACCCCTTTATGGTCGATAGTAGTCACGGATCACGTCTATACTCAATTCAGCACAATGACGCTTATTCTCTTATTCCTGCCTTTAAGATCAGAGGATTATACGTATGAATTACTTGATAATTGGAAGTCATTGTGAATATGAAACACAAATTGAGGTCTTCTGAAAATAAAATAACCAAAGAGAAAACAGTGAGACAATACCTAACATACACTGCACTGCTGCAACAATCTGACTTATAAATATTTAAGACATTGCTTATAATTATTTTCATTATATTTTTTTAGAAGATGGGAAGCCAGTGCAAATAGTTGAGGTGAAAAAAGGCAAGCTCGAACTCCATAAAACAGCACTTGATGCCCTCTTGTTGCAACCTGTGTGCAAGAAAATGCCAGTGATGGTTTTGTCGATAGCTGGTGTATTTCGCTCTGGGAAATCTTACCTACTCAATTTATTAGTCAACCACCTCTCTCAGAATGTTAGTATGCGAAAATAAGCATAAGTTTATTATTTGTGTCTTATTAAATCATGCCAAAGAACCAGAAATATGCTGCAATTATAATAATAATAATTACATTCTCATGTGTGTAGTAATGTTAAGTATATTTCTGAACAATTTATAAATAACGACCAATAAAGGTTTAAACAGTTTCAAAACAACACAATTCGAACCAGCAAATTTTTAATGTTTTAGAAATTCAATATAATGAAATAATAATAAATAACCAGGGAAGAGTGATATAACTAACTAAATAACTTTAGTAACTAAAGTAATAATTAATATTGTATAAATCTTTCAAATAAAGTTATAAATAGTTTTAAAATGTTCAGACTTTAACTGCAAGTTTTTAAATGTTTTCAAATTTTGATGTTTTAAAATGCAAATATTCTAATTTTAAATCCCCATATATGGCAAAATAATAATAATAAAAAAAAAATCAGAAAAAATGCAAGTATTACTCTAATTATTTTAAACCAGTTAACTAGTTTTTGGCCGAAGGAGAAAAAAAAAAAAGAGAAGTAAAGAGTATTTCTCATAAAAGATTATGATTTTCTTGACTTCTTCGTTAATGTCAAATTCAGAGTATGAGGAACGCATCCGCTCGCGTGCTTTTGCCAGTTGCTGTTTGTATACACAATCAAGCGTCCGAGGTAGGCAGGTTGATTGCTTCACGAACCCACATTCTTCTTTATTTTTTTTTTATCTCACCCACTAGTGCCATGTGAGCTCTCATAATAATATATTTTAATTCATCCCACAATTCATTAAATAAATGCGTAATCTGATATACTGAACTTGTTTACGTTGCCGAGTACGTGTCGTTATAAAGTGCGCCATCTCTGAAGAGATTAGTTTTTGTACTTCGTATCTTGCACACTGCAGTCGATCAAGTAGGCCTAAGTTACGTCTGTATAATTGTCAACATCTCTGTCAGAATAATTTTTAACAAATTTGAAATAATATAATAAAAAAACTATATTTCACAATTTCACACGGAAAACAGAACCTAAATAGAGGTAAGGCGAGACCTAGCCTTGTAGTGTTGTTAGGCTAATGTATCCGGCGGATTTACTTAGACCTATAAAAAACAAAATTCAAACATAAAAAGTAGAATAGGTTTGGCGCAGCGTGAAGGTTTGGTTTCCCAACCTTGAGGTCGGGGTCACAATCCCTCGCTGTGCATATCGCTTGTGTCCTTGAGCAAGACACTTTATCTGCATTGCTACTCTCCACCCAGGAGCATAAATGGGTACCTGGTACCTGGTGGGTTTGCTTGCTCCTGCGCTGAATACAGCAGCAGCACTTAAGCATGTGGATCCAATGACCAGGGACAGAAGTGCTTTGTATCTGCAAAGAAAGGCGCTATATAAATATACTGTCCAGGACAGTAAGCACTCTACATCATCTTGCGTAGCTAATCTGTCTAACTACACCACCACTAACGACCAGCTCTCCCTAATGGAAAGGGGGTTATCGTTCTGCCCATCTAACGCACTGAAACCAATCAAAGTATGTGCCGACTTTCATGCGTTTTTACGCAAAGTTAGACTCAGAGAATTCTTTGCTGATGACAATCACACATCTGCTACCCATCCGAAACGACCACTAAAATCATCTACGAAAAAGCCGTGGACCCCTCCTACCGGCAGGAACGTGCACATCGACAGTTTCGTCAACACAGCCAGGGCTCATCTAGACCAATTCCTTACTAACGCTTTGTCCAAATCCACTCCAGACAACTTAAACAAAAACGAACGCAAAGCTATCAAGGACTTAAAAAAACAATTCGGACATTGTTATTAAGGCTGCTGATAAAGGCGGCTCCATTGTTATACTTGACAAAGATGATTACATAAAAGATGCAGAAAATCAGCTGAATAATCCTAATTTTTACAATATTTTGCCTACCGATCCTACTAATGATTATCATAATGATTTACTTGATTTAATGTCTAAGCTCGATCATGTTGATGTTAATTTTAATGATTTCATCCCACAGGAACCTAAACCCGGCCTTTTTTACACTATCACCAAGCTACACAAATTAGGGTATCTTTTTAGCAAGGCCTTGATGTCAGGCTCTCATCCGCTCGCTTCTCTCCCACCATCTTAAAATCCTCCCTCATCTTCGATATTGCCAAGTCGTTATCTATAACCCCTCCTGGTAGAACCATTGTCTCTTGCCGTGGTACCCTCACTGAATTTTTGTCTGTATATATTGATTCTATTCTCAACCCCTACTCTCCAATATCCCCAGCTATATTCAAGATACCACCCACTTACTCAGAAAACTCGAATCTATTTCCACTCTCCCACAAGATGCTATACTTGTTACTATGGATGTGTCATCACTCCATACTAACATCCCTAACAACGAAAGCATCCAAGCTTGCTCCGATTTTCTTCTCTCATTCATTTTCCACTGATGCCGTCTCTGATTTATCATCCATCATCAAGTTCATCCTAATAACAATTTCACATTCAATGGTAAGCACTATTTACAGATTCAGGGTACGGCCATGGGTACTAAGATGGCCCCTTCATACGCCAATATTTTCATGACCAACATCGAGCACAAACTCATATCATCCTTCCCTCTTAAGCCCCTTCAATACTCACGTTACATTGATGATATTTTCTTCATATGGACTTATGGCCACGCCTCACTCACTGATTTTATCACTCATGCTAACAGCTTTCACAATACCATTAAATTCACTGTTGAACTATCTGACTGCCAAATACCCTTTCTTGATGTCCTCGTTAAGTGTTCTAACTGCACTATCAGTTCTTACTTTATGTTCAACCCACTGACTGTCACTCGTATTTTCACTACTCCAGCGCTCATCCTAAATCTTTGAAGTCCTCTATTGTATATAGTCAATGCCTTAGCATAAAACGTATCTGCTCGGACCCACTTGACTATGCTCACCATATTCAAACTATTACCTGTAAATTCCTCACTGCTGGGTACCCCCTCAAATTAATTAAGCATCAGATACAGAAAGCCCACTCTAAACCCCGCAAAGACTTCCTCCATTACAAGCCGAAGCTCTCTAACAATAATCGTATCCCCATTGTCTTAAATTATCACCCCCTCAACCGAACTATTGCCAGTTCTATTCGGAAGGATTTCCCTATCATCCATCAGGATCCTTCCATTCACCATCTTTTCACCGACCCCCTCTCCTAGCCCAACGCCAGCCCCCCAACCTCCGTTTCATCCTTTCCCCCTCACTTTTAACAGCCCCATGCCCAGATCTACAGACAACCACCTATGCAACAAGCCCCGATGCAAAATTTGTAAAATCCTCATCACCGATCAGACCATTCGTATCACTAACCACTCCATAAAACCTCCCAACCTCGCATGCGATTCTCACAACATAATTTATTTAATAACATGTAATATCTGTAACAAAGGCAATAACGTTGGCGAAACCATGAACCCTTTAGATTCCGCATTAACCAACACAAACACGACATTAGGAAAAACGCCCCTGACAAAACCGTAGCCCAACATTTTAATTTGCCCCATCACTCTATTAACAATCTGCGTGTTACCATTATCGACTCTAACTTCAACTCCACTCATCATCGCCGCTTTTCTGAACTTTCCTGGATTATCAAGCTTAAAACTCACACTCATGGCCTTAACAAAGATCTTGACTTTCTAGCTGACTTCACCTTTCACCTCTAAACTGTTTATTCTGGCCCATTATCTCCCACCACTGCTATCTCTCTATTTGTCACTGATCTGTAATAGTTTATATTGATTGTTATTTGCCATATACATTTAAGCATATGCTGTTTAATTAGTCTTTAAGTGCTGTTTTGAGTCATTTCAATTGTAACCCTGAAGAGGGGAGTAGGCTTTTTTAAACAATTTTTTTTTATAAACTGTGTCGGTATAATTTGACTATGTCAGTTTCTATGTTGTTTACTGAATACAGAATGCTGAAAACATTAATGGTCCAAAAAGAAATTTGTTGCCTTGCCAAATCTCGTAAAAGTTAGAAAAAATACATGACACAGGCACATTAAAACATAAGTAGGCCTACATATTCTATGATATTGTTATATATTGCATTGAAATTTAAAAATATGACCTATAAGCAATTAAATATTAGACATTGAGATATTATTTTATACTTGTATTAAAAATATATATTAATATAAATATATAATTGAATTAAAATTACATTAAAGGTAGGAAAGAAACCTATTGAAACTATCCAAATTTTACAATTGCTTTAAAGCAATTACACAGTAAAATTGAATCACAATTTATTAAAAGTAAGCTAAATATAAAATGCAAAATAATTGCATAGCATTGCACATTTTATAAAAGGTTGTTAAATAAATAATCAAAGTAGAGCGTTTCGTTTCACTGTCGAGTTATGCTTTTAATTGTTGGTAAGTGAACAACAATAAAACGTTCAGCAGATTTTCTAACACTTTCAAGATCTTTTTTGTTAGTTTTAACTGTCAAAATGCTTTCTATTATAGACTGATAAAACATTATGAGGATAGTATTATAGTCCACCTTAGTTTTTTTTTAACTGTCTCAAAAAGTACAATCTTTCACTACCTTTCCCCTGCATGCTTTAAGTTTCATATACTGTACAAGTATATACAATTGTCGACTTACAGTACATCTGTTTATATACGAGGAAAGACAATTCTATCTGTCTTTAAATGATTTGGTGCGTCTCTATGCATTTCAGGTGTTATTCCACTTTTCGGAAATTTGTGTTGGGAGTCCCTAAAATGCCGAAAACTTTTTTTTTCCCCTGTTAGTGCTTTTGATGCTGCTTCTTCTTTTTGTCTATTCTTTTTTCTTTACTTCACTTTCTTTGTAGATTTCTGCATTTGCACCTTTTTCCTGGGCAACCGGTGTTCGCTTTTGTAGCCTTTGTAAATGTTTCTCGCAACACTGTAGTGAGGCGTTAGTCTATTTCTAGTGGAGAAATTTCGTGATGTGCATAGCTTTATCGATTACTTCCTGTGTCTTACCAGAATCTGGGTGGATCTTGCTGTTTTCTATCACTTCGTCAGACCATAGATCAGATGTTTCACGATATGGTTCCAGGACCATCGGTGAAATATAGAGCGTATATTGTAAGATGATTATTGCCCTCGCCTCTCCTTGGGAGAGGTGAAGGGTATTCCACTAGCACGCGTATCTGTCTGTGCGTTGGTCTGTCTGTGGTGAGTCCTTCCTGCCGCATAACTCAAAAACTACTTAACCAAATAATCTCAAACTTTCACACATTATATTTAATGTATCTCGGCCCTCCACGAATTTGATACTTATTAGATGTAGGATGCAGATTTTCGAACGTTATTTATATTTTATATATTTTTCGGTCGTAACTGAGAGAGCAAACTCAAGCGGATCGTTCGAACAAGTCGTTTGGCTAGGACACACTCAATTAATTAATTAATCAATCAATCAATCAATCAATCAATGGATTTATAAGGCGCATAATACAGCAGTCTCTATGCGGATCGACAGTGGACCAACTCGAGGGTTTGTAAGCTCAAATTATCTTGTTCCATATTGGGTTGACTCGTTTGTTGTTTTTGAAAGCAAGATCTAATGTGACCATCCTCACTAAATTATAACATTTGGGTTTGTAATCAAAGATTATCCTCTTCCATATTGCGTTGACTAGTTTTCTGTTTTGGACAGCAAGATCTAATGTGACATTCTTAGGTGTATTTTTACATTCCCTAACCGGGTGATCCCCTAAGCAGAGTGTATGATTAAAGGGTTGGTATTCTACATATCTTTGAAAGATAATATTTATATGATTTGCATATGGAGTTATATGGATCATGAATTGTTTGTTCGTTATTTGGTAATTTTTGAAGTGGCAGAACACATGTCCACTTTTCAGGTGAGCAAAGCTATTACTTTATTAGGCAATTTTTAGATATGAATTGTTAAGTCTGTTTCCAGTACATCAATGTGTTGATCCACGATATACGATCTAGTACAGTTTGAGGTAGTTTACTTGATTTGAAATCATAAATTTCGTATGTTATTCCGTTTACTGTTACGGTTCCATTGGCTAGTAGCTTATTTTTTGCTTTTATTGTGTTGATTTTATTAAGTTAATTATCCACTTGTCTATGTTCTCCAAACTCACAAAATATGTGTGGCCTTAAAATTGGGGTAGCCAACCATTGCACTAAGCAGCACCCTTTCCGAACTTCAAGTTCAGTTGCACAGCATTTTCGTTGAATTGTGAACTTGGCCGACAAATCGGGATTCCTATAGAATTGTATTTTTTCATGTAATGAAAAATAATAATTTTAAAATGAATAAATAATATTTGATGAATTCCAGCGATTTCTATTTTTTTCTAATTTAGGAAAATCAAACATGCTGTACACTTGAACATGACATGTAGTTCATGGGAAGGTACAGACACAGTATAGAAAGCCACTGTCATCATTAATGATAATGTTAAGGTTTTGTTATAAAATTTACTGATTTTATTCAATAGGTCGATAAAACAGGCGGATTTCCTTGGAGGTCTGGTATTGACAGGGTGACAACTGGTATTTGGATGTGGAGTAAAATTTTTACCATTATATTACCTAACGGTAAAGAAGTAAGTTAAATTCGCTTATGTTTTACAGTCACATACAAGGGGCCTATTTTAATCATATATAAAATTGCAATTATAAAAGTGGTGCCAGTTGTGTGGAATGGAATCAGGAGTTTCCTAAGTACTCCGTTGTAACACATTGGTTGCTGCTGACACATTTAATATTACATGACCAATGGCTTTAATCTGGTCCCTAATCAGTCGGGAACTGAAAAACTGGGCTAAGTACAATGCAACTATAAGTAGTACTATTTAAAATATTTCATATTATTGTTAAGTTATTTATTCAGGTAAGTACAGTTTCTAAATCACTAATCATTTTTTATTCGGTTTACCTACTTACTTAGCAGGTAAACTGCTATGTCAGGAGCGTACTAGGCGCTTTGACGATTTACTTCTATCCTGTTCTGTCGTTGACTTAGTCCAAAATGCTGTTGGGATGGAGACACGATCCTGACCAACTCCTTCAACTTGGTCAAACCAATCATACGGGTGTGACCTCGTGGGTGGGTCCCTGTTGGTATGGCTTTAATGTTAATTGCTTCTTGAGGGGGTGGGGTCCAATGGGCCAGGGGTCCAAAGAAGCGTAGACAAAGTGAGCATGTTTTTCCTGTAATAAGTGATGTGTGTCAAACCTTTTTATACGTATAATAATATGTCAAGTTTGGCTGACATATGTTTGGTGAGCATCTATATTTTGGAAGCACACATGAGGATGGACAGAATAAGTGAATTATAGAGATTTACCTTGGTTTTTCTAAAGATGTGACTGTTTTTCCAAATTTTAGTCATGCTGTTAAAAGCAGATGTGACCAAGACTATGCGTCTATAAATGTCAGGACCTGGTCTTATGTCACAGGACGAGCTTAAAATGCTTCCAAGATATGTAAAGGATTGATTATACAATGTTTCTATTTATTAACTTGGTGACTAAGGAACTTGCTAAGAGATTGTAGCCTAGTTTTTGCCCAGTTAATAGGCGAAGAATTCTACTAGTACTGGTATGAACATTTATATTATGCTTTTTCCTTGCGGTTATTATTCAACAAAATAAAAACATAACACGAACAATAAACACAACATTCAGAAAATAATAATTGGAAGTACTAGGCAAACAATCACCAAGTGGGTCTTGAGTGCCTGTTTAAAATATTGGGATCAGAAATGTCCCTAAGTTCAGTTAGGAGATTATTTCAGATTCTTTGCAGCGTGACAAGAAAAAGAAAAACTTCCAATTTCCTTAGAATGACGTGGGACAGTAAAACGTGCAGATGAAGCAAATCGAGTGGAATGTATCGGAATTCTTTAGCTGATAAAATTACATAAATTGGCAGGATAAAGACCACTGATACATGTGTGGACAAATACAATTACCTTGAACATAATTTTACAATTAACCGGCAGCCAATGGAGGTCATGTAAGAGAGGGGAGGAGTGTGTGCGAGGTTCACATAAAAAAATAAAAAAAAACTAAGCAAGCATTGGAATTTTGCAATCTCTGCAGTCTATCTAAGACTTTTTTTTCAGGCGCGATCTACAAATTATCCCTAACGACAGAAGCGGGTCAAACACGTTTCCTGTTGTTATATGATTAGCTCTCCAAACACGTCTGTGAAATACCGTTTGGAAGCTTGTCATCAATTCGAGCAGTTTAATCCGTTTGGAAGTTGACTCCTCCCCATTTCATATGGCTGACTACTCGTGAATGGTAGATGTTAAGCGTGTTCAGCAGAATGTGGATCTGATCGTGAATTATACAACTTAAAAAAACGTGTTGAACCTGCCTAGCCTATGTAGGCCTAGGCCTATATAGTACATTAGTAGCCTATTACCGTAAAATGCTAGACCAACGCTAGATGACAGAGCAAGAAGAAATGTTTATAATTAAAGGCCTATAATTCATTAATTTTGCTTGTTAGGGCAACCCCAAATATTTTTCATATTCTACAAGGCCACACTGTACCTGTAGGTTGTATAGAAGCAAGGGCGTCGATCCGTGGTTTGAAGTGGGGGTGGGGGAGGCGAAATTCATAAATAAGAAAGCTTTGGGCCGTAGGCTCAAGCTTTGTTTGGGGCCAGATGGCCGCCAAGGTTTTACGGGGTGAGGCCCCGGAAGCTCCAGCGCCAATATCATTTTATAAGTCGTATCTAATTGATTTTAAGGAATGCAATTAACATTTATTTTCACTCTTCATTTTCAAAGGGAGGGACTTTTTTTTAGATTAGGAGTGTAGACCACCTCAGTCCCACCATAAGGTAAGAAAATTTATGATTATGACACCTTTAGTTGGCCAAAAATGGCACTCTCAGGCTAAATTTGAATATAATTTTTATTTTTATCCACTTTTTTTTTCTCTTTTGTGGGGTTGTCCCACTTTTATTCATAAGTTCAGCATACACAGTATAATTTGTAAAGAGTTGTTCAATATAGCTTCTTAAAATATCTTTCACCATTTTTTTTCTTACTTTCAATTGAAATTTATGCATATCGGTCAAAGTGTACAATTACCATGCATTTTTCTATTTTTTTTTTCTGTCATTTTAATAAAGGATATAACAAAAAGTCAAGCATTTGTTTAGGCTATTTTTTTAAATTTAAGTTTGTTCGCTTGTATTTATAAAGACTATATACAATATTTATAGGCTACATTATTTTTTCTAAATAGTTTTCCTTCAGACTATAATGTGGTGAAATTGTTTTCACAAAATTTAACCAATATATATTTTTTAAATATCATTAACCATTTCTTTTTTGTTTTTTCATTGTTAATTAAGAAATCACAGCTTAATAAACTCTTTAATTCCAATAAAAACATAACCCAAGGACATTGTTTCCCAAGTCCGAGTCTGTACTTAACTTTACTTTTATAGATACAGATGTAAAAATAGATAGAATTTCATTTGTTCGTTCAGCATAGCATCCTTGAACAATTTTATTCCATTCTATTTGTTCATTTATATCAAAATTGCATATTTTTAACATACAATAAAGTTTTACCCAACTAAATTCTATATTCTTACATTTGAATAACATTATGTTCTTCATCCTCCTGTATATTGCAAAACTCACATAGATTGTTGTTCGATATATTCCACAGTTTAAGTATAGATCGCGTAGGTAAGATTATGTGTATTAATTTATAGTTGAAATGAGCAATTTTCTTCATATGCATCATTGAATTCACTTTGTTTTTCCAACACAGTGGGCAGTCGATTGTGTTGATTTGTAAAGTAGTTTCCCCTTTACTTTGAGCTTTTGGTACAATATATTTGTCATTAATGAATGATAAGTAAAAATCTTTAACTTTTTGTTTTTTTTAAATAATAGTGTCGTTGGATTGACATTTTTTTTCACCATGTATTACACAAACAAATTGGTTTACAATAATTTCTTTCCATATTTTCGGAATTGCATTAATTAATGCCACATATTCTATTAGTGTATTTGGCGTTTTTTGACAATTTTGGAATTATCTCATCAATCTTTGTTAGTCGGTTATTTACAATTATATCATTTATGTTTTTAAAATTTGATTCTACCCATGTTTTACAAAAAAAAAAAAGGTTTTCCGTTGAACTGAATAAATTTATTTTCCCAAAGCCTTTGCTTTTTTACTTCACAGATACATTGTGGGTGCGAAGCATGTATATTATTGTATTTTTCACATACATAAAGCATATTCCTATAAAATGTAGGCAACTGTTTTAATGAACTATGCTTTTCAAAGTTCATATCTGTCATACATAATGCATATGTTACAGAAAACATGTAAAACCATGGAATATATTTCCATTTACCTGGGTCAGGACTATTACCCAACTTAAATTAAGGGAATCGATTACACAGTTGAGATAGATCATTTTTAGGCCTCCTTTCATAATATCTTGTATAATTATATCTTGTTTTATTTTTGCTTTTTCCCCACTCCATAAGAATTTATACAAAATGTTATTAACTTTAGGGATAAAGTTTTTGGGAATATCTATGATACTTGCATTATATGTAAGTTTTGATAAAGGAAGTGTCTTTATAATTGTAATTTTCTCAAAAAAAGGACAAATTTCTTTTTTCCCATGTTTTTAAAAACGTGCTCTAAATTAGAAACTTTTTTCCCCATTTTTTTTTGCAATGCAAGTAAGTTTATCGTATCCTATATATATTCCTAAAAACTTTATAGGTTCTTGAACGAACGAGATGTTACAAGCATTACCTTTCTTATTTTTATTACTTCCAATCCACACACCTTTCGTTTTATTTTTATTAAGTTTCAAACCTGACACTTCACAAAACAATTCAATTTCTTTAATGAAACTAGCTATGCTATTTTAATCCTTTGCAAAAATCACAGTATCATCAGCAAGTTGTGCTATTTTACCAGTATTCAGAACCTCGTTTGAAGACGGCAGCTTAATGCCTTTGCACAGAGGATTGTTTCTTATGTTAATTGCCATTAACTCTACAACTAAAACAAATAATAAGGAGGACATAGGACATCCTTGGCGTATCCCGCCATTCATAATAAGACTCTTTGATGTCCACCCATCATTAATACAGCGGCTTTCTGTATCGGTGTACATTACATCTACCCAATGTATGAATTGTTTTCCAAAGCCAAAATATTTTATAGACTTCTACAGAGTCAAAGGCCTCTTCGAAGTCAGTAAAAATTAAAGCTCCCTCTTTATTATTAGTGTCTGTATATTCAAGTAAGTCCTCGATCAATCTAATGCTTTCGCCCGCAAATCTACCATGGATATATCCCTTTTGGTCATGGTTAATTACTGTACTTATTACAAATTGCATTCTCTTTGCAAGTAAGTGAGCGGCTATTTTGTAATCAACATTTAGAAGTGTTTTTGGTCTCCAATTGGCTGAATTTTCTCGCTCGCCTTTTATATACAATAAAGTTATAATACCTCTTCGTTGTGTTGTTGATAATTTACCATTTTCATAACTAAAGTTAAGGGCCTTACACACTGTGCAACTAATTGCATCCCAAAAT